CTTAATATATTTTTATTTTTATTAAATATATTTTTGTTGTTTTTATTGCCACACAGGTTTGTTGTTGGAAGCGTTCGCTGTAAATGAGAACAAGATGAGAAACGGAAATATTAGACTAGAGAAGCGGCCAACTGAGGCGAAATGAAATTCGAAATTTGAAACTGGTTTCAAGGAAAACAGGATTCACCTGACGCACACACACACAGAGATACACACCACCATAGACACACATGCACGCACAGTGAATAAAAGAAAATGGTGCAGCGATTTATGAGCTGGCAGCTGCTGCCTGCGAATAGAGCATTAAAAAGAAAACGAAGTAGCGATGCGCAATTAAAGGGAGTGTTCGGTACAAGCCACAGGCCACAGGCCGACAACAACAACTTTCCAACACTACATCTACAACAACAATAACAATGCGTGCATAGCAATGCAAGGAGCTCAAAAGAGCAAAGAAAATTAAACTATAAACTGCGCTACGAGTCAACCACCACCAGCAAACACACTCACACAAACAAACAGTTTCTCACGCATCACGCACAAGTACAACAACAATATCGCGTATGCGTATCCTTTAAGCTGTACCAGCTGTTTTTACAAAGCAACGCTCTGTGACACTACTACTACTGCCCCACACACATGCATGCATGCACGCACACATTATAGCTGTTAATGAACTCAAATCGCATGTGTATGTGTGTGTGCTTGTGCGATTTGCCTGCTGTCATCATTTACAGTATTTTCAAGATTTTTTAATAATAAATGATTAGTGCTTTTTTACGTGACGAACGCCATGCCAAAACGAAAAAAAAAAAATCGTTTTAAAGAAAATAAAATGACAGCAGCTTATGTGCTCAGTAGTTGTCTCGCTCTCGCGCATAGTCACACACACTTGCAGCTGTGAGTTGGAATTTTGATTTCGTGAAATTTTAAAAAATGGTCGCAGCAACGCATATCATTATCGAAAGCACTTTAGATACTAATTAATGAAACATAAAATAATTGGCTTTTGCATTTGCTCACACCCAAACGCACTTACATTGATATATAGTTGCTTCCGCCACAATTTCTGCACCACTTCACACTCGCGTTTTATTTACTTTTTTTGTACATACGCGCACGAACGTTTCCCAGTTGCAGTTGAATTGTAAAACTAATTTATATTGCTATTGCTTATTGGGTTGAGCAGTATTTTAAAGGCCACTGAAATGCACTGTGCTACGGTTTCAAAGTTCTTATAATAGATATGATTTGTGAAATTTTTGTCTTTTTGCGATGTAATTTTCAGTTTTTTGTCGAACTCTTACGAAAAATGGACGACCGATGCATGCGTGACGACGATTCGTGAACAGAGAGGCAAGCCTTGCGATGGAAAAACGATAATTTCCACACCGTTATCACAAATGCAGACCTGTATCGACGCCATAGCTTAAGTTTGGTACGCAGCTTTCAAGTATGAAAAATAGCATCATTGAATATCTGAATATAAAGACTTTGTGGAATAATAAAATAACTATATGTAGAACTCGTCCATTATGAATATTTGTAATATATAAAATGATTCTATTATATATTTAATCTGATTCGAACTAATTTTCGAATCTAAATAAGCAAAATGGGAAATTTTCAAGTCAGTATTTTTCGTTTTACAATGTGCATTTTCAGCCTACATTAGTAGGGTAACACTGTTTCGAACGACAAAAGTAGACATAAAAAGGCAGAGTTCGATGTGAATTTGTGCAATTAATATTATTAAATATTTTTACACTTTTATAGTAGACAATTTTTTATTCGCTTGTCCAACGAATTTACAGCGTTTGTCAGCAATTAGCCCAGTGCGTGTGTATTATAATAAATAAATAATTACGTATCCACGGTAGGGGCCAAAAGCAAGCAAATCATAAAGCAGAGAGCAGAGCAAAGAAAGTTCTAAAAATATTTTTGATCGTCGTGAAAGTCGCATATTTTATAAAGCTTTCAATTAAAGACCAAAACAGCGCATACTTAATTGCAAAAATGGTATTGAAAGTGTACGTCAGCGGCATGTCCGGCAACAAGGAGGTGAGTATTTCAGTTTCCTTGCGGGCGGGGCAGCTGAAAAGCAAGCACACATTATGACAAATGCACATAGATATATGTATGTATATGTGTGCGTGCATATTTGTATGTGTGATTGAATAGTAGGAGTCAGTGTCATGTTAATGGAATGCTTGCTTAACAGTGTGATAGACGAAATAAAAAAGAAATACCGCAATGCATATTCTATTTTATGCACTGCACATCTCGTTTGTTTGCGCTTGAGAATGCGTGTGTGTGTGCGTGCGTGTGAGAGTGAGCGATTATTTAGTATGTATGTACGTACAGTCAAAACGTCATCTCTCTAGCGCTCGCCTTCTTTGAACAGCAAGTGGGTATTTTGATTGGCGTATGCAAGTGTGCGTACGTTTTGATGGTGGTGGCAAGAAGCAGCACAATGACCGCAAACATTTCCATATAAGCTTATTTTATTGTCTCTGTGTGTACTGTGAAGCGTAAAAGAATTCATTGATTACAGTTTTTCATACATGTATGTCTATTTGCGTGGGTACGGCTTTGTTAATATATGTGTGTGTGTGTGTGCATGATTCATGTATTTGACTCTCTTTTTTTTTTTTGTTCGCCTCATCTTTGTGCTAAAACAACGGCCATTGTGCAAAAAAAAAACAACGGGAGTGTTCGCTTAATATGGGTGCGAGTGAGAGCGAAGCTTTATATTTATGCCGTTATTTATTGTTTGTAGACTTGAGACGTGTCAGCGCCACAAATATATATTATGAAGACATATTTGTTTGGGTGTGTGAGTGAGGAGACAATAAATAAAAACAACAGTTTATCAAAAATTAATTACAAGACAGCAGAGATAAGTGTATTGAAGTGAGAGTGAGAGATAGTGTGTGCATATGTATGTGCGTGGGCTTGCCGGCAGTTGAAAACCAGGGCTGGAGGCTTATCAAAATAAAAGCAGAACTTAAACTGATTTATTATTTTTATCTATTTCCATTAGGTGAAGAAGCGTCAACAGCGCGTTCTGATGATCTTGGACAGCAAGAACATTCAGTACGATACCATTGACATAACAGAACCCGGCAAGGAGAGCGAAAAGGAGTTTATGCAAAACAAATCAACTAGCAGCGGCGGCACAGTCAGCGATCCAGAGCCCAGACATCCATTGCCACCGCAAATCTTCAACGACGAGGAATATTGCGGCGATTATGATGCCTTCGACTTGGCCAATGAGATTGATACGCTGGAGGTGTTTCTCAAACTGGCGCCCGCTGATACAACGGCTGTGAGCAGTGCTCAGATCGAGCTGAAGCAGGAGAACGGAGTGGCAAAAGAGGGCGAAAAGACCGAGGATGAAGAAAAGAAAGCTCCAGCGGAAGGCGAAGGGGAAGGCGCGAATGCGGAGAAGGCAGAGGTTTGAGAGCTTTGAGCAATTTGTACTATTCTGTTTTAACTGTTATGAAGCGACAACAACAACAGCAACAACAAGCCTGCACAGAAGCAAAAAAAATGACAACAATAACAAAACAAACAAAAAATTAACATTAACATCAAGCCACATCATTTAATTAATTACTAACGCCGCGATGCAATCAGCAAATCCAGCCAGCCATGTTAACAGTAGCAGCAATAACATTAAACTGTAATCTAACAGCATTTCAGCAACTTTGGCGGCAAACATCAATTTTTTGTTAGCAAATGTGCTTCTATTACCACGACTGCGGTTCTTTAAGTTAAGGTACTATCATTATATGTATATTTATACACGTACATATTTATGACATGCATAATGCAAGAAATTACAACGTTTAATCAAAAAAATATATATATAATTTATTTATAAAATAATACACTCACACACTTTTGTATGTATATGTAACAAGATTTGTATTGATAACATTTTGTTAACACACATTCGAAATAATAACGCAAATTTCAGTTGCAATTTGATTTAAATACTAAATTTTAATTGAGTGTATTAAAACTAAACTATTTGTACGATTTGTGCGGCTAAGTTATGTTAATGCGAAAACATAAAAATCCGCTGAATATATAAGTACATATTTAATAAAAAATACAAACGAAATGAAATATATTTCTATTTACTAAAACAACAATAAGTTTAATAATCTAACAAGAACAGCTAGCGCCAGCGCTTTACAGTTGTTAAACAGCGCATGTGAAATAACAGCGAAAGTTGTGAGTGGAATCGTATTGTTAAAACTCGTCACTTTACATCAAATAAAAGGCAGAAGATGGCGAGCAAACGAGCGAGGATAAGGAGAAAACAGATAAAGATGGCGACGAGGGCGATAAAAAGGAAGAGAGTAGTGAAGAAAAGGTAAAACGTGAATGTTGTAAAGTACTAGCATGTGAAAAGAGTAAACAAAGTTAACAGTAATCAAAGTTAACAGTAGTCAATGTTAACAGTAGCTGCTATTGAGCTGCTAATATCGCATGCTAATGCAAATAAAGCTTAGCAAATGATGTTAAATTAGTATTAGCGAATCCTTAATGATATTTGTAAATATATTTTCCCATTTATACCATCCTGTACCATATCCCCACTGCAACAACAACAATACAAAACACTCACTCTTGAATGCAATGCACCAAATCCGAAATTCTAATCACAACTCAGACTGTAACCGAAGCTAAAGAAGGTAACGGCGAATCAGAATCGAAAGAAGAGAAGGAGGAAGCAACAGGTAAAATAAAGGATGCACAGCATGTCAATTACTCTAACATTCCTTTAATGCCAAAAGCAGACAAAACTGAAGATGAGCAGAAGGAGAAGGCAGAGGAAGACGATAAAAATGAGAATGAAGGTGAAGGTAAGAAAACGGAAGAAAAGGCAGAGAAAGCGGAAGATGCGGAAGGTGAGACAAAGGAAGAGTCGAAAGAAGATAAAGATGAAAAGGAAGAAAAGCCTGAAGAAGAAAAAACAGAAGAAGAGAAGTCCGAAAACGAAACAGAAGAGAAGTCTGAAGGCGAAACTAAAGAGAAAACGGAAGAGTCGAAAAAAGATGAACATGAAACAGAAGAGAAATCAAGTGTAGAAAAAGATACAGTAGAAGAAAAGCAAGAAGAGAAAGAAAATGCCGAAGAGACCGTTGAGTCGGAAACGCAAGAAAGCGCAAAAAACGAAACTGCCGAAACGTCTAAAGAGCCCGAAGAAGCTGACGAAAAGAAAGAAGATAAGGAAAAAACTGAAGAGGTGGAAGCAGAGACAAATGATACCAACGAAGAAACAAAAACAGATGAAACCAAAACAGAAGATGAGAAACAGGGTGATGAAGCAAAGAAAGAAGTAGATAAAGAAGACGAGAAAAAAGATGAAGTAGAAAATAATGAAGAAAGTACCGAAGAAACTAAAGTAAATGCAGATGAGGCAGAAACTAAAGAAACTTCTGAAGAGAAAGAAAATCCTAAAGAAGAATCAACAACAGACGAAGAGAAAGAACCCAATGCTGAAGTAGGAACAGAAGAAAAGAAAGAAGCCGATGCTGAAGAAGTAACAGAAGAAACGAAAGCTGAAGAAGGAACAGAAGAAAAGAAAGAAACGAAAGCTGAAGAAGGAACAGAAGAAAAGAATGAAACGAAAGCTGACGAAGGAACAGAAGAAAAGAATGAAGTGAAAGCTGACGAAGAAGCAAAATCTGAAAAGGAAAGCGAAGGAGAGTAACAGAATTAGTGTATTAGCTGCCATACGAACCACAACGAACGAACACGATGAGCCGGAACCAAACACACACAAACTCACGCACACACACCAAATGAACCAAAGCAAGCACTCACTTCAAATGAACCACTATCGCATCTGCATCTGTAGTCCATCACTTAGAGAGCACACATATGCACAAACACACACATTAGCACATATAAACATGAATTGTAAATAAAAAGTTAAGAAAAATATATTACTAATAATAATAAAAGTTGGTGAAGGGTAATGAACAAAAATTAGTTAAAAATTAAAATTTAAATACACGAAATTTCTAACTTTCTCCCACAGACAGCGACAACAACAGCAGCTCCAGCTGCTGCGGCTCCAGTTCCAGCTCCAGCCGAAACGAATAATTCATCGGCTCAGCTCTTAGAACGAGAGCGCGAAGCTGCGGCGCAATAAACGAATTTGAATTCTCGATTTATTTTATATTTTTGTATATTTTATTTTCCACTTATTACAATTTCAATAAAAAAATGTCATGTAAATAATTTCGTGTTTATTTCCTTGCTGCGATGCAATAAACGAAAGTCATATTCTCGATTTATTTGAATTTTGTATATTCTCTTTTCCACTCATTAAAATGTCAATTATAATTTTTATAATTCCATTCATTGAAATTTAAATTTCGTCTTTAAGAAACAATATAAATTAAATTTTCATTTGTGGGATTTAAATTTCAATAAAAAAAAAACGCTTTCCAAATTTTTGAATAGTTTTTTGTTTTTCTTTTTGTATCCAAATAATTAAATATACAGTACATTTATAATTATGTTTAGTACAGAGACATTAAAATGAAGTTATTTGTTTTACTTATTTATTTACGTTCTAGTTTCGGGCTCTTTATCCATGTTTCTTTTGTTTTTCTTTTTTTTTTTTTAATTACAAAAACTAGTTAAAAATGCGAATTTATTTCGCAACTCAAAAGCATTTACTAATTATTAAAAAATGGATTTGGGAAAGGAAAACAAAATCAAAATATTTGGAGGAAAATGGAGAATGGATGAGTTGAAGTAGGAGCTGAAGTAGATTCATGTCATGAGCAACTCGCGCACACTTTCGCTCTTTATTCATTAAATTGTCGTTGATTGTTGACTCTAATCGCCATTCGCCACGTTCATTTAACGTGGCTGAACAGATCAAGATTGAGGTGAATGAGTTGAAGTAGCTGCAGCAGATTCATGTCATGATCAACTCTCTGACTGACTCTCGCTCTTTCGGGTGATTGTTGCCTAATCGCTATTCTCCTCATCGGATGTATCTGTTGTATAGTCGCTCAGATTCTCTTGCTGATCATTGTGCTCCGGCTCCGATTCGCTCAAGTCCCATTGTGGGTGATCTGTGGGTGGTGCGGGTGCCTTCTGTACATCCAATTTCAGTTCCTGTTGCTGATCCATACCCAGATACGAGTCTATAGAAATGGGATAAGAGATTTAAATGATGGGAACCATATGGATATACTGTAGACTTACCTGATCTCAGGCAAACTGTAAAGGTGTAGACGCCAGGCCAACGGGGCGCTGTGAACTTTAACTGTATCTCCTCCTTCTCGACGAGATTTGTGACATGGTAGGGCGCTGTGAGCAGAGTGCGCGACTTGCGATCGCATATGTATGTCCACCAGTACTCCTGCTTCTCTTCCGGAAAGAATGGACAATGCACTGTGTGCGACATACGTGACTTGCCCTCCAGGCGTTCGCGTTTATTCAGCTTCGCCTGCAGCCTCTCCCACTCCTCATCGTCGTCGTCATCCAGCGAGGAATTGTTTTTATTCTGCTTATCCTCATCCTCGCTGCCAGAGGCGGGTACCGATTCCACATCGCTGTGCTCTCCGGCATCCGATTCGGCTTCCGAATTGGCTGCCGTTTGCTCATCTGCTGTGGACACAGTTGAAACAGAAGCAGCTGCTGCTGCTGCTGCTGTGGCTGCTGGCTTCGGCTGCGCCCTTTTCTTCTGATTGTTGGCGGGTTTCTTGCCGCCTTTGCCTTTGCCGCCCTTGCGCGACTTTGACCAAGCAGAAGCCTTCTTCACGGGCACAACAGCAGCAGCAGCACCTGTCTCATCATCATCGCCAGCCGCCTCCTCATTGGCATCGTCCTTAATGCCCTGTTTCTCCGGCACCTTTGTGTCCCCGAACAGCGTCTTCATGTCCTTTCGCTCCAGCGTCACGGTCACTGTTACAATTGCGCCCGCTGTCACCACATTGGTGTTCTCATCGTCGATCACCTCACAGCGTATGGAGAAATCAATCAGAGGCATCTTGCCCAGCACTCGCATAATATTCTCATATTCAAAGTCCGAGAGATTCTTGAGCAGCATGCGACTCTCCTCCGGCTTCAGCTGGGCGAATTGTTGCAGATTCTTCACATGGCGCTTCTTGTTCATAAAATACAAATGATCCTCGGTTAGGTGGGGCAACTGCAGCAGCGGCGACTTGTAATCCCAGAGGCCCTGAATGATAATCGGGGACATCTTCATGCAGTTCTCGATGGTCTCGATACTGGGCAGACGGGGCACACGACGCGCATAAGCCATCATGACCAACTGATGCACACAGCTGACCATCTCCTGTACCAGATACGGACACTTCTTCACAATGAATTGACGATCACGTTCTAGTGTCTCCGGGTTCAACGGAATACGTGAGAGATGAGCATGCAGTATGGCACGCGCTTTAATGGAATACATGCGACACAGCGGATGTTCTTTGCATTTTTCATTCAGATTAGGCAGTTGCCTAATCAGCTGTAAGAGAAAGGAAAATCATTTAAAAATGTTGTATAAAGGTAAAATGTATAAATACTAATATATAACATTGCGGCTGTTGCTAACACTTACATTACAGCTGTTAACAGGCATAACTAAAGATAAGAGCTTCGACTGTTAACAGTCTGCCTTTAACATAACAGTTCTCCGCACATTTACTTAACACCTTTAGTTATGTTAGTTCTCTTAAATCACTTTATCAGCCTTTATAATCAAAATTTTCAATACGTACCGCTGGAACTTCATCGTTATCCGACTGCCGTTCGACCACCTGCGAGTTGTGTCGCTTATCAAACTCCAGACTGGCTGCGAGCACCATCAGTGCACGTTTTAGTAGCATGTGCGGTGTTTTGTGTATGAAATAGAAATACATTTGCGAAGTATCCAATAGGACTTTATCTCCGCTGAAACGTATGGAGCGATACCACCAGATGCCAACTGCGGAAGGCATGGCCACCATGAAGACTAGGCCATAGAGACCCAAGACCCAAACGCTATTCTCCTTCTCAACGATCCATGACGGCAGGGCAATACCAAACGACATGGCGCCCGGACCATCGGGATTGCCATATTTCTCATAGTTCTCCTTGGCCACATCATCGGTGAGCGCTTGATACGCTTTGCTGAGCATCATAAATGACTTCTCGTCGCCCGTCTCCTTATCAGGATGCAGGACCTTCGACAGCTTATAGTAGGCCTTCTTGATCTCAGCTTGCGTTGCTGTCGGCGGCACATTCAAGATCTCAAAGGGATCAAAGCTCGCCATCTCGTAATCGAACTGTGAGACGCGATATGTGAGGAACAGCAGTAGCGCCCAGCCGAGCACAATGGCCAGCTTAATGACAACCGATTTTAGTGTGCGATAAGGCTCGGCATTGGCCAATATTATCTTCTTCTTTAGACAGTCGGGACATTGGCATTGCTCTTTCAGTTTGCTAAGATCTGTGCGAAAAGGGTGCAAAGATTAGAATCACATGCGGTGAGAGCGAGATGGCTGCTAACATTGAGATCGCGAGAGAGCGCTGCAGCATGTGCGCTCTCTCTACCTCGCTACCTGGTCTGTCTTTCAAATATAAGACATGCATATATGTGTGTACGTTTGCGTGTGTGTGTGTTCCAATTGTGAAGTGAGCTGGCTTAAGCTGTTGTTATTGTAGCTTTCACCAACACGCAGACAGCGTAAAGCGCCAATTGGAAGTCACTGTTAGAATAACTTAATGGAACGTGTCCATTTGCAGCACTTGACACACACACGCACACATATTCACATCCAGACTTACACTCACTCACATTGACTTAAAGAGAGAGCTGCAGTCTGATTATAATCAGCATTAACTAACCTTCTTTCTTTTTACGTGGCCAATAGTAAATCGTTGTTGGTATCAATATAAGAGCCAAAAACGATAACACAAAGTAGTAAAATGTGCCGCCACTCTCATCATATTGAAACTTTTGACCCGCCATTGGAAAAGTAGCGCCGGTCTTCTAATTATTTACAAAAATCAGCGCAGTTTCTTCTTCTCTCAGAGGAGTTTGGGTTTTGGTGTGGTCGTCGTCGTCGTCTTTTTTTCTAATGGGCCCCCAGCTGATGCTCTGGCACGCTGGCAGTTCGCTGACTGCGCGCGTCTCTGGTACTTAAGCAAATACGGGATCCCAATGAAGGGAAGATTTTCAGTTAGGCTCAGTTAAAATGCACAGCGCTTAATTGCACCAATTAAATGCCGCGAATTTAAAAAACTTATGTATTTACAGCAGTCGTCAAATGACACGTCTGTACAGTGTGACCGTGCCAGATTGCCTTGGTAATGCCGCAATTCAATGACACCGTACTAACGAGATCTTAAGATAACACAAATCTGCAACGGTCGGTTCGATTAAATTGCGCGAATTATGGATTTGGATGTATTAACTAATTGATGATTAGCGTATATTATGTTCGTTCCAGGGTCGTTTTTAATTTAGGCTGGGAATTTATAGATGAACTCGTTTCTAAATTTGTTCTCTGCTATAACTGTTTGTTTCTTTTTATACTCTGAGTATTAATTTTACGATATGCTGCCACTATCAATAAGTATTTTTCTGCAATACGGTCACACACTATTTCAGTACTTTTATATATCGAATATAATATCGTCATGTGTATTTTTTAAACTTGGGGATATCGATGCACCATTTACTTTCAGGCCACCCCAAGAATTTGATTATCACATCGCTAACAGAATAGTGAGCGCGTTGAACGCGCAATGAGTAAATTTTTGGTTCGCTGCCGAGAATTCGATTATTTTAATTTAAATAACTGATTTTAATAGTTTTATAAACCAAACGGCGCATGATTAGCAGATGGTGTATAATATCAAATCGTCAATCAAAAAGTACTGTAAAGTAAAACCTGCAATAAGAAATACAAATAAAACAAAAAGAAAAGCAAGGTGCCAAAGAAGAAAACCAGTTATGTATGTCGAATTGATGTATTTCCATTTTGCTGGGCAAAAAAGAAACATTTTTATGGCAAAAAAATGTTAAATGAAAGTGATGTGTGTGAGTGTTTAAAGGCTTATTAATAATATGGGCACAGCTAGAGCAAGTGAAAAGTGACAATAAAAGCCAAGTTTATAACCAGACAAGGTTACATATTCCATGACAACTTCCAAAACGAGAGTCAAATCCCCCCTCCAAAAGCAGATTTCCAGCGAATCTCTTGCGAAAACTAAAAGTAAGTACAAGCCAAGTATATATACTTACAAAATGCATGTGCATATTACCTTTAAAATTATGTATGTGCGAGTGTGTGAATGTGTGTATGTGGGTTTTTGGCGTCTTCTTTGCAGTCAAAGAGGCGGCGACCGCCTTTGCGTATGCTTGCATGTATGTGTGTGTGTGTGTCTGTGTGCGAAAAGCAGGTAGAAGAGCTAGGTAAATAAGACTCTCAAGGGCAGCTAAGAAATTATACGTGTGATTTGTTCTTGTGTGAAAAATAAAAATAAAACAAATAAATACAATGGCCGTCTTCCTTCTCTTTCCCTTGCTTGCTTTTGCAGGTGGTTTAGTTATTTAGTTTGTCGAATTGTTTGCTAATTTCGGCTAATGCTGCGCTAATTTTAATTTCGGTATATTTATCGCTCTGATGTATACGTATGTATATTTATTTTGTTTTATATAATTGTCAAATTTGAAATCTGCGTTAAGAGTGAAAAATCGATAAATCAGCGCCGCTGCAGCTGTTGGGCGATGCGTGGGCCATGGAGCCCAACTACGTGTAATTGGGGTAGGAAACACATGCACATGCATACACACACACTCAAAGCTGTATATGTATGTATCTGTGTAACAAATAATCCGCTTAATGTAAAAACGCCAACGATGCTCAAACGTTTTTGTTTTTTTTTTTTTTTGGCGGCACCACAACCTCTTTTCTCTTCACTCACTCACACTTACATACATTTGTATACACGTATCTAGCATTTCGTGCATTTTCTTTTTATGCATTTGTGCAAATAAGAAAAATCAATAAAACTGCGCTAGAAGAGACCCGTAATAAATAAAACGCCGAAAGCAAAAGTCAGCGCAACAAACAGTTAAATGTGTACACATGTTATTAACCCAATTACAATATGGCAGACAGATGTAGCGGGATTAAAGAGCCAGTCAGCGTAAGAAGAATGGGGGAGAGAGTGAGAGCGAGAGAACGCTATGACTAGTGAATATATTAAGAAAGAGGAGAAGACAAGAAAAAAATCAACAAACAATCCGCTGAATTGGGCGAATAGAATAAAAGTTTCGTGAGTCATGCGGCGATTTAGCCATTTCAAATTAAAAGTGACTTGAAATGTTAAAATTAAACCCTCATACAATTTCTTTTTTTTTTTTCGCTGTGTAAATGATTGGACTTGGAATCGAGCGTGGGGGCATTTCGAGTTTGGCCAAAAGTCAAGTGGATTTCGTATGCGTCAGCGCAGAAGCCGCAAAAGTGCAGTTCTTATCGGCATTTATATAGACCGAACAGAAAATAGGAGAGCAATTAAAGAGTTTCCCAAGTGTGCCCGGCTTTCACCCAAAATATAACAACAACAACAACTGTTGAATTTCTGCTTATGATATCATTTTGTGTTTTTGATTGCTTCAATTAATGTGTTGCCAAACAGAAAAATTCCGCAGAAAGCATGTGTGAAAAATGTTTCTATTTATATATCTATATTTAACTTATCTTATTCTACTTTTATTTTGCAATTTTCTGTTGAATTTCCGCCAATCGATCAAATACTTATATCGCATGCAATATTTTCTGTTGCGATATCGTTTAACAGCAAGCAGCCGGCGCCTATCACGCAAACAAACCAAAGAAACAATATCAAAACTCGTGCTTAAAGTGTCAGACGCATTTAGTTACTTATCGTACATCGGCAAACATGTGGAAGAGGGAGGCACTGCTATTATCACTGAAAAAGAGATGAGCAATGTGTATCGATATGCGCGTGTGATTCATTGCATGTTTAAAGTAACTACAATAACAATTTGTTTGTTTAGTTAGTTGTGTTATGCATTTTCGATACCTAATCGCGCGCTCGCTCACGCGCTCATCTCAATGCGCTGACCTAGAATTGTTGTCACCCATCTCGCTTTGCTTCTTTAGCTCTCGCTCGCACGATGTCGTTCACTTATTTAATTGTCACGTCCAGTGTAGACTGCGCTTCTGTAAGCTGCCAAAGAAATGACGCCATATTGCGTGCCATACTCTCAATAATCACGCTTCTGTGTGGTATGAGTGTGTGTATGTATGTGTGTGCATGGATTCCTAAAGGGCAAGTGCGCTAACAGCTGACATTTGACAAAAGAAAATAGCTGTCATAATACGTTGGGCATATGTTTTTGTACCGTTAGCTGGCACCCATTTCAGTATTGAAATCTCTGAATGCTTGTGCTTTTAATCTAAATAGCAGCAAATGCAAAACATATTGTTTCAATTTATTTAATCAGTAAAATATGCATATTGAAAATTTTGTAGATTACGTCGACTTAAACAGATGTGTGGGTGACTATTGTATCTAATATGAATATGGGCATTAATGCCATGCCAGTGTGTGTGTATCGATATGTGTGTAGCATTTGTAAATGCTGTATTTATGTATGTATATATATATATGTATATGTAAATAGTTTGTATCTTGCGTTAGCGTAAAGAATTTTATTAGTAAAATGTGCTCTTTGATCTTGGAATTAATTTCGAATAGACAGGAAGGGAACGAGAGCGAGACAGCGAATTGTTTTTGGTGGTTTCTGTTTATTCGAGTTCGAATTGTTTGCTTTTGTTTGACTTTGGGTTTGTTTGTGTGAAAGTGAGTCAAATGCGTTGGACATACGTTGCAGTCGCTCAGCTCGGCTCCGCTCGCTCTGCACTGCTCTATGTTGCGGTTGATTTAGTTTTGCTTTTTGTTGTCTTTTTTTCTTTTTCTTATCAGCACTCTCGCTCTCTTCTTCAATTCAGTTTTTTTTTGTGCTTAGGTCATTTTTTTTAGCGTCTACTTTTTCATTACATAAAAAAGTTTCTGATTATTTCAATTAATTTTTATATTCATTGCTAAAGCATTCGCTGCGTAACGCAAATTGTTTACCCTTTCGCGTAGCTAATTAATTATTTTTAATTATTTTATCACACTGGGATATCATCGATGTCTTGGCCCATTTAAAAGTTAATTAGTTTAATGGCACACGTTGCAAATTCATTTGAATTGTTGCTTTATAGCAAGCTTTATCCCTCTCTCTATTCTCTCTCTCTCTCTCATTCTGTGTATCTTGCTCCCCTGTCCTCTCTTCCCATTTCACCTACACACGCCCTAATTGTTTACAGATTAGTTTCAACTGGGTGTGGCATAAGCGGCGGGTGTTAACAATTAGACAGCAGTAAAAAAGCAGAAGGCAAATGCCAGCTGCGTCCAGTGTGGCCGCTTGGCAAAATTGTCACGCAACCTGGGCTGGGCACACCCGGTCCGGTCTCATCACGTACCCCGCACACAGCTGATGGTAATCAGCCTAGAATTGCGCTATTTTTGGGCACGCTTTGTGCGTGGAATGCGTAGGTGAAGCTATTTTATGCTCTTTATGGCAAAGATTTATATTTGGCACATATTTTTGGTCTAGCTACTTATTTATGACTATTTGCCTAAGCTGTAAATATTTGTAAACTAATATGTGTGGGTCTTTCTCTCTCTCTCTCTCTCTCTTTCTATCCCACTCTGTCCTTGACTGTGGTCAGTTTATCAGCGTGTTGAGGATATACATATACGGGGCATCAGGCGCCCCTTTGCAATTGAACTCAATTGGGGCGTCTCATTATGCAAGATCGTAAAAAAGTGACAAGAGTAACGGCGCATCAATCATTTATATCGGCAATTTGGAGCACATAAATCAAGCTAGAAAAACCAATTAGGCCAATCAAAATATTCACATTCAAAAAATAGCCTCCTATTTGTAATAACAGTTAAATGTATGTAAATACATTTTTATTATCAATTTATGTGCATCAAATATGATTTATGCGAAGCCCCAAAAAAGGCATATGAATTGCCAAGAACAACAAAAGAGTCAAAAAATCATAATAATAATAAATGCAAATAACCTTCAACACCTTTAAATTTTTGCGCAATGTCTAAAGTCGGTAAATTTTGACGAAAATCAATTTTCAATTTGCATGTGCGATTTCTTTGAAGTGTTTCTCGCGTGCAAATTTATGCTAATTCAGCAAAAGCAAAAAGAAATAAGAAAACAACTGTAGATGCTGAATGAAGCGACGTGGTGGGTCGCCGCGGGCAAGTGCGGAACGGAAAATGAAAACAATGAGAAATTGCTAAATTACACTTCAATAAAATTGTTGTAGTATTTTGACTTGCACGAATTGGAGTTGAAGAACTAAAATATAAACTGCATGACGCAGCGAAAATAAGTTTGTAAAGATAGAGAAAGAGCGAGACTTGAGAGCGGAAGAGAGCGAATCTAGCTTAGTCCTTATACAGTTCATTTAACCTGAGCTTAAGGGCATGAGAGAGGGAGAGAGCGACATCGAGTGCGAGCGAAATGAAGTGCAGACAGTTCATTTAACCTAAGCTTGACGACGTGACTTTAGAAGGGAGAGAGAGAGGAAGAGAGTAAAAGGAAGTGCAGGCAATTGCTTTAACTCTAACTAGACTTCGTTAAAGTGGAAGAAATAAAGAAAGAGAGCGAGTAAAACGCAGTGCATGCAGTAGTACCCTTAACTGTAACATGACGGCGTGAGAGCGAAAGCGTGTAAATCGAATTGCTGGCAGTTCATTTAAACTCGGATGAAGAGCATGAATGAATGCGTTTGCAGTGTTGGTAAACAAGCAAAAATTGACCTGCTTATGCAAATCGCACAAACTATGTCAATTTCGTACGCTGACTAATCGTCATTTGATTTACATTAACTTAACATGTTGTTTATAAATTTCTGGCAAAGCATGATGTGTCGGCCATCAATAAAATAACACTAAATTAATCCATTTGAGGCGCTGGTGGCGTTGCGACGATGACTCTTTGGTCATTTACCTATCGGTATCGCTGCGTAAGCTCCAAAAAAAAAAAAAACAAAATACGTCTTCTCCCACCAACCTGAACGAATCAAGATTAATTGTTTATGGCTAAATTTATGCTCGCTCTTTGTTTTTGTTGTTGTTGCTGTTGCTTTTGTTGTCGCAGTGGGGC